GTTGAACCCTTTGTGTCTCTCTGGCAAGATGTTCTGCTCCTGAATCAGCTGGGTAGGTCTTGCCTCTAGCCTCTTTGTAGGGAGTTCTGCTGAAGGGTTCTGTGCTGGGCCTGTGCTCTGGGTCTATTCAGGATCCCACCCGGCCCTGGGTCATCTCACTCACTCGCCGGGCCTGCGCTCTGGGTCTTTCCAGGATCCCGCGGCCTGGGTCGTCTCACTCACCCGCCGGGCCTGCGCTCTGGGTCTGTTCAGGACCCCGTGGCCTGGGTCGTCTCCTTTTCAGGCTACTTGAAACACAGGAGGAAAATAAAAAGTAACATAAGGCTACTGGTTAAGAAATAAAATCTATTTTTGTTTTCAAAACCTACTACCTCTAATCTTATGATCTGTTGGCATAAAAAAATTAAAAGCAAAAATTTTCTCCACTAGGAAACATCTTTATGGATTATTTCACTACAACCCCATGATGCTTGGAGTTGAATCACTTCCCGACCCCATGGATACCTGGGAGATTATAGAGACCATTGGTAAGGGCACCTACGGCAAGGTCTACAAAGTAACCAACAAGAGAGATGGGAGTCTGGCTGCAGTGAAAATTCTGGACCCCATCAGTGTAAGTTATGATGGTAAACTGGGATCACAATCTCATGTTCCATGTGCGTTGAGCTTTCAATTTCTTTTCCCAATCTGAATGATAATTGTCATGAGATTTGGCATAAAATTTGAAAATAGTCACAATTTTGCAGCCACTCTGAAAAAAGGAAGTTTGTTTGGAGTTTTAAAAGTTCCTTGAAGGGCCAGGGAGATGGCTGCCAAAAAAGTAAAAAATAACTAAAAACTAAAACTAAATAAATAAAATGAAAGTTCCTTAATTCTTTCTTTCTTTCTTTCTTTCTTTCTTTCTTTCTTTCTTTTTTTTTTTCTTTTTTTTCTGTATTTTAGGGAAGTGTCTACACGGTGCTCAGGGTCTCACTACTGGATCAGACTCGAAGTGATCTGCCTGTTTACAGGCTCCCAAGTGCTGGGATTGCAGGCGTGTACTACCACGCCCAGTCGCAGTCTCAGGGTGCCCCGGGGACCGGGCCGACATGGCAGGCCTGGGGTTTCCGGCCCCTGCACCTGCTTTACAGGCGCTTTAATCCGCTGAGCTGTTCGGCCTGCCCTTGATTTTTGCTTCTTGTCCATTTTACTCTTGTTTTGATCTTGGGCCTCTGGGCACTGTAGAAATTACTCTTTTGGAAAAAGTAATATATTCTTCTCCTTGGTCTTTCTAAAAGTTAGAGAGTGACCCAGACTTGTGTTATTTGATCATCCGAGGCTGACGTTTCATGTCAGAGCCGAGGCTCAGCACGGGGAAGTTGTGCGTGATCTGCCCTGTGCTGGATCTTTCAGGCTGCTTCCCCAAAACTGCTTTGAAAATTTAGACATTTTTCAATGAAAAAGATACAGAACTTAAAGTAATGTGGTTAACAAAAAAGACAACACTAAGCAGAA